CCAGTGATCTGCTCATCCATCCATCCATCCATCCATCCATCCATCCATTACATTTACCCGCTTCTTCCTTTTCGGGTAGCGGGAGTCACTGGTGCCCATATCCAGCCATCACTGTACGAGAGGCAGGGGACACCCTGGACAGGTCGCAAGTCCATTTCTACCGGCGGGTCAGCAGATGCGCGGCCGGTGACAGTCAAGTCAAGGTTCATGTGGTGGAACGAAATTGTGTACACAGGGTCCCAGTTACATCCAACACTAAAATGTAAAAGAAATACAGTAATAAGATCTTATATGAACTAAGAAAAACATCAACTAAAAATATGCTAAGCACTAATAGCTTTAAAACAATATGCCAACAGCAGCACGAACATGAGTCTGTGTGAGCAGATGAGCACGCATGAACACAGCAACATGAAACATGACAGGCTGTCTATCTGAGCTTAACGTGGCTTTTTTGTAACCTCTTAAACAGGACGGTCGGACCTGTCTCCTCCTCAACAATAGATTAACACAATTTTATATTGTACATTCTTTAGTTTTCTTTGTGCTGATTCGTAAAACCACATCAAAGCCCGAGACGGGCCCAGCCTGTACATTATATGGACCGGCCCGGTCGTGATAACGCAGCGCGTTAACATTATATCCAGAAGATGTCCATAAATTTCAGCTTAATCTCAGGCTTTGGTTATCTGGTGCAAATGTGCAACATAAAAAGCAGATGCTGGGGAGTAATTTATTTATTACTTGTGGTCTCTAGGTAAAAACTAACCCCATGCGCATAGGGCTCAAGACGTACTAGATCTATTATTGTAGAGTTCTTAATTTAAAAAATATTATGTACGTCCAAGATGCATAAAAGTAAAAAAACAAGCCAAAGAGGTCAAAAGTACTGCAAAACTCAGCTTTATTGTACTAATGTCTTTCAGATTCAAGTTTTTAACCAAATATTTTATTTCAAACTCTTTGTACTTGAAGAGTAACAGGAATAAAAATGTGGGAAGAAAGAAAAACACGAAGGATAAATAACACAACATGAATTTATTTGAGTTTATTTCTAGTATATTTCTTGAGGGAGTGTTCTTAACTGCAGAGTTTGACAGCAAAAACACCCAACAGTGATTGCAACGTGTAACATTTATAGAAATGAGCAAAGTAATGTCCATTATTGTCTGTTTATCAGTGATAAGCAGCAGGGACGGATTGACTTTAATAAAACCTGCTCTAAAAAAGCATAATCAAATACTAATTTGTGTGACAGAAAACAAATTAAAGTAGATTATTGGCCATGCATGAACGAAAATAAAAATAAACTTTTGTCTTGAACAGATTTTCTCAAACTGGCGACAAAAAACATTAAAGTAGTGAATTTAATCCTAAACTGTAGTCTTGTTTATTTGCTGTGTCTCAGCACCAAGAGGTGTGAGCGGAGCAGAAAACACAAATGGCTCCTGCAGATGTTGAATCAAACGGCTTCACGTGTTAAAACAGCAGCTGGGCCTCGACTCAACTGGGTCAATGTTTGCCTCCAGCAGGATGCTGACTCCCCTCCTCTCTGTGATGCTAATTGTCTGCAGGAAATAGACATCGGCAGATGTTTGGGAGGTTGTGGAACAAGAAACCGGTGCCTTCTCAGGTAAGTAAGAACTCTGCACCCTCCTCACATCTTCTGCCGCTCATAACAACAGCCTGTGAACTTTGACACCTTCTGCACTCAGCACTACATGCTCTTATTTTATTTTTTAAACCCTACTTTAATGTTGCTGCAGATAAACTGTTTTCTGTTAAACTAAACTTTAAACTAACTCAGCTTAACTGTTTTAAATCTAAAATCCAACACCGAAGGTTAGCTCATAGTTTTCTGACTGTTGTGCTCGAGTTTATAATTGGAAAAGGAACAAAATGCTGCACGATCAAAAAGTGAAAAGGCAGTCTTTAATATATTTTATAAACATGTCAGGTCTGAGTTAGTGCTGTGTATTTATTTGGAATTGTAATGACATTAATTAAAAAGAGGCGGCTCCTCTTGAGATATAATAATTTAGTCTTAAAGCGTTGTTCTTTTTTATTTACTGCAGGAGTCCAAATGATACAGAAATCTGTCACTTGTGGTCAGAAAGTGAGTCCAGCTCGTGCGTTCCTCAGGGATATGAGAACCACAGCTTCATCAGCCAGCATGGGCAGCTGCGCACAGTCCTCTCCATCACTTCCTGTCGGTGCAAGAAGAACTGAACACAGCGCCCCTGCTGGAGAACAATCCATTTGACTACTTTTAAAGCTGCGCATCAAAACTACAACTTCATTACTTAATAATATTCAGCAATAGGCCTATTATAGTATTTGTTGTATGTACAAATTGTATTTTTGACGAGAGTCCCTACAGAGACGAGGTGAAATAACTGACCAGCTGGTGTCAGGAAATTAACATCTCTCTAAATGTCAGCAAAACAAAGGAGATGACAGTGGACGAAACAGCGTGGAAGCCAGCACTCCACCATCAACATGAACAAAGCTGAGGTGAAGCAGGTCAGCAGCTTCAAGTTCCTCAGCATTCACATTACTGAGGATTTGTCCTGGACTTTACAGACACTGTGGTCAAGAAAGCCAGACAAAGACTCTACTTCTTAAGAAGACGAAAGTAGTTTGGTACGAATACCAGCACCGTCACCCACTTTTATACGTGCACCAGTAAGAGCCTGCTGACAGACTGCATCACAGGGTGGTATGGGAACTGCAACAGTCAGAGCCGGAAACACTACAGAGGCCGGGTGGTACAAACAGCAGAGGACATCACTGGTAGCAGTCTCCACACCATCCAGGACATCTACCACAGCCAAGGTCTGGGTAAAGCACACAGCATCATTATGGACCACACCCACCCAGCACAAGGACTCTCCCATCTACTACCCTCAGGCAGACAATACAGGAGTCGGCCATCACATACAAAAAGAATAAAGGACAGCTATTACCCACAGGCTGTCAGATTACTGGACTCTCAATAAATAACACTGAACAACTGGCAATAACTAATAATTCACCCTCAATGTAATTAATTACCTGTGCAATAACCTGTCACACAATCCGTTTGGTATATTTTGATTATGTGCGATATATATATATATATATATATATATATATTATTAAATAAATATATTATATATATATGTGTGTGTGTATATATATCATGTGCATTTTAGCTTATATTACTCCCTTGAAATACTTAATTCATTCAAATTCACCCTGCTGCACCATTATATTGTACCATGTTGTTGTTCAGTATCTCACTTTAAGACAGTGTAAATATTTTAATTACTTTTTCACTTTTTGATACTTTTTTATGTACCTTTATTGCGTGATTTTTTTTTATTTTTTATTTTTTTTTTTATTCTTGTTTGTTTTTTGATTTTTTTAGCGTGTCAAATTGGTTCTTCTCATTCTAAGCATTTCATTGTACTAACCCTGTGTTAGCCTTACATATGACAAATAAACACAACTTGAACTTTTGTCAATTTAATGGTTTGTCATTATGTTGGGGAAACTTGAAACTGACAACAAATAAAATATGAACGAATTTCATGCTTTGGATGTTAAAATGTTTATAAGAGCAACAAAATATGAGTGAGTGTGCTCCCTTAATGTAGATGTAACATTCTGAGTTTAAATCAACTAAGTTAAAAATGTTTTTGTAACTCAGTCAGGTTTTAAAATATATAAAATGTTGCAGCTTTCAGACATATGCCAATTTTATTCCATTTTAGGAGTAAATTAATAAAATCCTGTATTTCTAAATAACAAAGTTCATGCGCAATCATCCAGGTACCAAATCCAATAATTCTCAGTCGGGTCATCTGGACAGTTTATTTTTTATAGATGAGCAAAATACAACCTTAAGCGTGGCTTTGAGATAACACGTCTGCAGGTCCACCTTATTTTATTGTTGTGAGAGTCGACGCTTTCCTGTCACACTTTTATGTTTCACCCAAAGGAGAAACGTTTTATAGCTTTCCCACGAGGTGTTACGAAGACAAGAACAACTTTAATCTCCTTAAAGTTTCTAACAGTAAAGAAAACGTCTGTTTTCCCCTGTCTCTGGGCACCGTTACCTCGTGCGTAATTGTGCGTAAAGATCAAACGACGCAAATGGCACAAAGTTTAAAACACCGGAGTCACTGAATAAAACTAATTTATTCACTTTCGAAACAAATCAGGACCTACATTAGAGACTTTGGAGGAATATTTCTGCGTGTCTGCAGAAAGGCGGAGGGTTCACAGAGCTGAGGAAATAGATCTGATGTTGCGTCATACGTGAAAGTTATTTATGCATGAAGCTACAAACCTGATGATTATTCAGCTGGAACCAGATAATCTGTTAATGTAAATCACAGCAAGTGTAGCCGTTGACACCTCAGAAGTAATTGGTTTCCACCTAGAACAATGGGGCCCATTATTCCCCCATTATCCACACGCAGCTGACATCTCACTGAGTCCGCGTCCTGATGAGATGAAGGCTCGTTCTGTTTCAGGTTTAACGTTTTCTGTCATTTTTAATCTCATAAACTAAAAAAAAAATCGATTGTTTAATAGAGAAACACACTTTGACATTTTAGACTCTATAGTTTCCTCAAAAATCCTGCTGTGGATTATTTGAAGGCTCTTGTTGCCAGACATGAAGACGAGTAACAGGAATAGAAATGTGGGAAGAAATATAAAAAGGGAAACTGAATTACCCAACGTGAGTTTATGTGAGTTTATTTGATGTGTATTTGACTGAAACCTCCGTTCGGGTTCACACCTTGTTAACACCACCATTTACATTTGCGGCCAAATAACATCTTACCTCTGTTTACAGAGGCTTGGGGTGTGTGTGTGTGGGGGGGGGGGGGGGGGGGGAGAACAGGGTGGGGGTGGATTTGATTTAAAAAGTCAAGCCTCCAGGACTTTTCAGCCACTCCACCTCCAGGGACAAGAGACTGGTGACGCTGGAATCCTGTAAGACTTTAAAGATGTTGGTGTTTGTGATCAGACTCGTCCTTGTCTTGCGCGTCACCTCAGCTTGGCCTTCTCTCGGCAGCCAGGACAATCATTTTATTTCCGGAAATGAAACGGAGGAAGTCCGCTCTGCGGCCATAAAGAGGCTTTTGGAGGTTTTTGGAATGGAGGACCCCCCTGCGGTCCATGGACACAAGCAGCCACCTCAGTACATGCTGGATCTGTACAACACGGTTGCTGATGTGGACGGTGTGACCAAAGATCCGTATGTTCTGGAGGGGAATACTGTGCGCAGTTTCTTTGACAAATGTGAGATCTGATTTAAATCTGCGTGTTTGGAAGATGAAACATGTTCATCTGTTCTGGTCTCTAATGATGAGTTTTTCCTTTGCAGTGCACAGTGAACAGGTGGAGTTCAGGTTCAATTTGTCAGTGGTTGCAAGAACAGAGAAGGTTCTCACTGCAGAGCTCCATCTGTTCAAGCTGCGCCCCCAGGTCACCCTGACACCCAGCAGACATCACTTCTGTCAGGTACTGCTCATCCTCATGAACTGATCTTTACGATGAAATGTCTTTACTTGTCTTATTCCTGACACACTGTTTCATTCAGGTCAGTGTCTACCAGCTCCTGGACAGCAGTACCACCAGCAAACAGGGGAGGAAGCTGCTGTCCTTTCGGCTTGTCCCTGTCCACTCCACCGGTTGGGAAGTGTTCACGATCACACAAGCTGTAAGTTTCAGGACTCATTTTCCAAAACAACTTTTCAAAAGAACAAGAGATTTTAACTGTTTGTTGGTTTTCCTGCAGGTCAGCTCCTGGATGCAGGATGAGGGCAGTAACCTGGGGCTCCATGTGGTGGTTCGGTGTCTAGGAGGAAGCCAGGTGGACCTGAACCTGATCCGCTTCGCTTCAGGGCGGCACCATCATCAGAGCAAGCAGCCCATGCTGGTTCTCTTCACTGATGATGGTCGCCGCTCTGCTACACTTGAGAGTACAAGTAAGACTCAATTCTGTTGTTCTGTTTGGATCGGAACAAACCCAGAGGTTGTTCTTTGGTGGTCTACTTGCTACACGTTTTATATTCTCCCAAAGTTTAATGTAGTTTCAAAGAAAAATCAGTGTTTGTCACAGTTGACATGTACTTTTGGAAGAACCACTCTACTGCTACCTGTCCATTCAGAGAATAAAATGCACCCCTTCCTGTTTCTTTGTTCAGATCCACATGAGGTCATTAGCACCTCCATCCTCCCTCAGATCCCCACTTCAGCCTCACCGCCACGCAGCGCTCGCTCCCTGGACCACATTGATGAAGAAGGCAGACTGAAGCCCTGCCAGCACCTGCCTCTGTACGTGGACTTTGAGGAGATCGGCTGGTCGGGCTGGATCGTGTCTCCCAAGGGTTACAACGCTTATCACTGCAAGGGCTCCTGCTCCTTCCCTCTGGGTCAGAACATGAGACCAACCAACCACGCCACCGTCCAGTCCATCATCAACGCCCTGAAGCTGATCCGAGGCATCCAGACGCCGTGCTGCGTGCCCGACAAGCTGTTTTCCATCAACTTGCTCTACTTTGATGAGGATGAGAACGTGGTTCTGAAACAGTATAACGACATGGTGGCTGGAAGCTGCGGCTGCCACTGAACACAAACTGTTTGGGCATGCAGATAATAATTAACAAAAAATCATGTAAATTCAATTTTAGTTTGAGGAGAACCTTTTGTCCTTTGACCTGTAAATAATAAGTGATGTGCAAAGTCTTTTGTGTGACGTTGTAGTATATGTAAATATTCATAAATTGTAATATATGACTGTGATGAAGTGATGTCCAGGGAAACCTGTAAATGTGTATATTTTATATTTTTCTGGTTTTAATAAATAGGTCAAACATTATAAATGATATATAAAAATATGACGTGAGTTTCTTTGAAAGTTTCACACAAAAAA